GAGAGAACAAATTGGCAGTTTCGACAAACTAAAAGTGTTAATCATTCAATTTAATGAATTGGGAGAGGTCAATTTGCTGAGAAGAAGTATTTTAAAAAAGCCTTCAAAAATGAAGACACGCCACGACCTTGAAATTTTGCAGCAACTGGATTTGCGTGAAAACCAGAAGAACGATTTTGGCTGTTAAAACAACATTGATTCTCGACAGTGACGAAAAGAAGTGGAAACTATTTTAAAATTACAATCGAGACTATCCAAATTGTAACGAATGTACAGCTACAATTGTTACGAAGCAGTTCCCGAGAATTCGGAGGGGTATTGAGAAAATTTTACTACCCCTCCGAGACTACAACAAGACCGCTTTTCGACAGGCATCGAGAGTCCAAAAGGGTCTTGCGATGAAACTGAAACTGGTTTTTAGACAACTTTTAGCTTCCTGGTATGTCTTGAGTTGAATTTAAATAACATCTATTTCATTTTTCAAAATATGAGAAGCTGGGAACTGAGAAAAAAAGTTGATCCATCTCCGATGGATATGATGATTTTTATCTACTGAACATAAACAATAGAAATATGATAAATAAGTAGAAGCCGTGTTTTTAAGAGTGACCTTGTGGTCTAAGGATACTGAGACCCAGCCATGAGCTCATTAATTTTGCATGTAACCAAGTTAATTTGCGCGATCTGGCCGATAGCCTTAAATTGTAACGACTTTGTCGACTCGATGCTAATGGACCACACATAGAACTGGTTTTTCGAAAGAGACGGTTAAAAGCATATGAAGCTGTGTTGAGACGATAGCCAGTCGTTTCATAACGTAGCTTTATTTTCCGTTGGTATGTACTTCCGGGCTATTGTTAGTTTTAGAGTCACGACACCTCCACATGACAGATCAGAAGCGACCAGCCGGTTTCACGCTTGTCCGATTGGCTGCTAGTAGGCAGCCCCTGTGGGAAGTAACGGTAGTTGACTCGCTATCCCCTAGTAGAAGATCGGAAAGATCGCAAACCTGTTTTTCATAGTGATGTTTTTTATAGATATATTTTTCAACCAATAGCTTTTGAAGTTCAGTGTGCCAGCGGCCCTAGCACTAAGATTTTTCTAGTTAGTCTCTGTAAGAACCTAAGCACGTGTACCGAGTAACCAAGTGCATGTAATTGTTTTCAGCAGATATTCTTCTTCGCATTACAGGTTGCAAACGCTTCCTGTGTACTCGGTACTTATAATGTAGACCTCAAGAAAGATAGACGTTTGCAACCGATTGCCATCAACAAAATCTAATAGAGCTTGATGATAACCCTAAGTGTTGAGGTTTATCTAAATTGCATTTTAGTAATGCAAGTAATTCGCTTAAAAGAGAAATTATGCTGTATCACGTTTTCTCGAACCGCCCTGAGTGGTCAATAATACTTATTGCGTCTAAAAAAAAACAATTTAAGTTTCTTACGGAAATTCCATCCTTATATTGGAGGAAGGAGCTCAAAGGAGGACAAGAAGCTGCACCACTTTTTATGAAATCGTTTGGACGCTAATAAAAAAGCTAGGTTTCAAAATAAGTTTCTGGTATTTAGATGATGGAAATCAAGCTGACGACTGAAAACTAGCCATCTGAGACCTTAAAAACGTACTAAATCAGATAAAAACTATGACGCAAGCCTAAATACAGAAAAATGTTAGCTAGGTTGTCTAGGACAGACCACAAATACGCAGTTCAATGCACTTTTAGCAGTACAATTCAACAATTTTAAAAAACATATCCAAAAATATATTTCCTGGGGTTTGTGACATTCGACCAGAATGGCGGTCAAAATGCATGTCAACAACGAAATTTTATGAGCAGCAGCCGAGAGAAAAAATTGGCAATTTCGACAAACTAAAAGTGTTAATCATTCAATTTAATGAATTGGGAGAGGTCAATTTGCTGCGAAGAAGTATTTTAAAAAAGCGTTTGAAAAGGAAGACACGCCACGAACTTGAAATTTCGCAGCAACTGGATATGCGTGAAAACCAGAAGAACGATTTTGACTGTTAAAAACAACATTGATTCTCGACAGTGACGAAAAGAAGTGGAAACACCCGATTTGCTAAGACCTTTCATTGTCGGAGCAAAACTTGTAGACCTCAAGAAAGATAGACGCGTGCAACCGATTGCCATCAAAAATATCTAAAAGAGCTGGATGATAACCCTAAGTTCTGAAATTTATCTAAATTGCATTTTGGTAATGCAAGTAGTTCGCTTAATAGAGAAATTATGCTGTATCACGTTTTCTCGAGTCGCCATGAATGGCCAGTAATACTTATTGCGTCTACAGTAAAACAATTTAAGTTTTTTACGGAAATTCCATCCTTATATTGGAGGAAGGAGCTCAAAGGAGGACAAGAATCTGCACCACTTTTTGTGAAATCATTTAGACGCTAATAAAAAAGCTAGATTTCATAATGAGTTTCTTGTTTTTAGATGATGGAAATCAAGCTGACGACTGAAAAATAGCGCTCTGAGATCTTAAAAACGTTTTGAAATCAGAAAAAACTCTGACCCAAGCCTAAATACAGAAAAATGTTAGCTAGGCTGTCTAGGACAGACCACAAATACGCAGTACAATGCACTTATAGCAGTACAATGTTACAATTTCACAAAGCATATCCAAAAATATATGTCCTGGGGTTTGTGACATTCGACCAGAATGGCGGTCAAAATGCATGTCAACAGCAAAACTTTATGAGCAGCAGCCGAGTGAGAAAATTGGCAGTTTCGACAAACTAAAAGTGTTAATCAATCATTTTAATGAATTGGGAGAGGTCAATTTGCAGTACGAAGTATTTTAAAAATGCGTTCGAAAATGAAGACACGCTACGACGTTGAAATTTCGCAGTAACTGGATATGCGTGAAAACCAGAATAACGATTTTCACTGTTAAAAACTACAACGAATCTTGACAGTGAAGAATTTATTTTAAAAATACAATCGAGACTCCAAATTGTAACGAATGTACAGCTACAATCGTTACGAAGCAGCTCCCGAGAATTCGGAGGGGTATTGAGAAGATTTTACTACCCTTCGGAGACTACAACAAGACCGCATTTCGACAGGATTAGAGAATCCGGAAGGGTCTTGCGAAGAGACTGAAATTGGTTTTTAGACAACGTTTAGCTTCCTGGTATGTCTCGAGTTGAATTTAAATAACGTCTATTTCATTTTTCAGAATACGAGAAGCTAGGAGTTCAGAAAAAGAGTTGATCCATCTCCGATGGATATGATAATTTTTATCTACTGAACATAAACAATAGTAATATGATAGTAGTTTTCAGCATAGATTCTCTATCGCATTAGAGGTTGCAAACGCTGCCTGTGTACTCGGCACTAATTATGATAAAACTACTTTCGAAGAAATCTTTATTTTTAGAGCCAAGGGAACGAAAGCGCAGCTTAGCATACGTATCTGATAAAACCGTAGTCTCATATCAGGTCAATCGTTTTGAGTTTCTGTCAACCCCGGTTTTATACTGTGCAGGTGTTAATTTTCTCAATCTGGTTGGCTTAGTTCCTAACCATCTGACTTTTTACCTCTATCCACCTCACATCTAAATAATAATTTTAGAGGTCAACTGTGATTGGCTAATGTTTTAACTTGATGGTTTAGTATTATTATAATAATAATTATTATTATGAAGAATTCGCAGCTTGAGCTGCAGGGATTTCTCGTTTAGAAAAAAAATGTATGTGATTTATGTAAAATTTGTAAATTGATGTTTTATTGTCATTTAGATTAGTTTCTTATAAAAATGCTGACTATGCACATAGTTGCGAAAACATTTAAATTTTACGTTATCAAAATTTCCATCCACGTTTTACTTAACTCTTCCATATCTTGAAAGTTCCGAGGATTTTGACTGGATGATGCGATGATGGGACTCCTGAATGTAACCTCGGTTACTACGATACTTTTGACATGATTATTATCTATGGAATAAAAAAGAAAAAATGGAAAATTCGGCTGTTGTGTTCTTGACTTTTAAAAACGAAAATTTGCACTATGACCCACCAGTACATTTCTAGCTTGATCATGATGTCTTCTTGATCTCGTGCCAGTATTTGTACGAAATTTCATGAGTTTTTTTGGGCTAAAGAACTTATCATAGATCCAGCAGTTGTCGGCCATCGGTGGCGTGTCACGGAGCCGAATACCTAGATAAGCGAAAAATAAATTCGTTCCCGGATAGCCAAAAAATAAATTTGTTCCCGTATAGCCGAAAAATAAATTCGTTCCCGGATAGCCGAAAAATATAAAAACTATTAAGGGCCCCCAAACTGAGGGCCCAAATTAAGGGCCACCAACCGAAATTATAGTGACAGTGCAGAGGCGGATCTAGGATTTTCTTAAGGGGGGGGGGACAAGTGCTTTAAAAAGAACAGGCCAAAAATGCCGTTTTTGGGATTTTTAAGGGGGGGGGGGGCAATTGTTAAGTAGATTAAATTAACGCATTTTCGACCAATCAGATTGCAGCAAAAATCTTTGTATAGAATTCTCAATACAAAGCTCTAGCGCTAATTTACTATTTAATTAAAGGGAGTGGCAATTCTTAAGTAGATACCAAAGGGAGGGCGATTGTAAAGTAGATTCAATTAATTCAATCATCAATGTTGCATAAAACGTTTTCGACAAAAAGTCTTCATCAGTAAAATCTCATTGAATTTCAATGAGATTTTACTGATGAAGACTTTTTGTCGAAAACGTTTTATGCAACATTGATGTTTTTCCCAATATCAATTCAATGAGAAAGAAAGTATTAGCCAATCAAATCTCTTAACAGGCTACAAAATTTTGAGGCACATTTTTGTCCAATCAAAATGCGTCTCAATTTAGTGACAAGTTTTCTGATTTAATTTAATAAAAACCGGAGGTATTTAGTTTTTTCGGCTATCCGGGAATGCGGCTCCGTGGGTACGTACCGTCCACTCCGGGTCTTAATTTTGATACTTTCAACTTCCTTTTTTCAGATACCAGAACCATGAACGGCTCTAACCGAAATGAGGTACAGATGCACAACTATTTTGACATTGGTAGAGGTCAATCGGTAGTTGAAAACCAGGGATATCCGCAAGATGCATTTTCATCCAGAGTGAGTTAGAGCCTCATGATTAATAATTTATTAGACAGGAACAAAATGACTTCAATTTTGTGATAGTGCTGAAATATTTATCTCCTTTTTAAAAGTAAATGAAAAGGTCAAAAATTATCATGGTAATTTAAGTTACTACACTCTTCCTTCATCATATACCCAGTCAAAAAACCCTTGGAATTTAATGTAATGAATGGTGTAGGTTATTTATTTCGACTGGTTTGGTTTTTTTTTTTTGAAGAATTGGTTTCACGCTTTGATTTGATTTTGCTCTCTCCCAGGATGAATTGCGCTCTGCACGAACGAAAATGCAAATGGCGAATGATTTTTATTTATGAAAGGGGATTTTGATTTCTCAATTTCTAGCGGAATAAAAAAATATCTATTGATACTGATTTTTCTTTTTGGTTAATTTTTATAAAAGATTTAAAGTAGTAGTATTAGAATAGAGGCAATTAAAAATGTAATTAAAGAACTTTTTCTCACATTTGTGCATCATCAGGTTTAAAAGTATTCAAGATTTATAAAATGATCATCGATCATAAAAATATCCTAAGACAATGTATATACAAAAAATTCTGAGACATTCTTATAATTTTATCATTTAATTAAACTTAATTTAAATAATTTTTCGATTTGTCACATTTTCCATTTTCGCAAAATGTTAATTGTTTATTTCGAAATTTAATTGTTTGTGTATTAGCCGAAAATGCGTTCTCGGAACTATAATTTAGGGGTCAGTTCCCTGCTCTTGAACTCATCGCACGTGTTTATTCTCGGTCTCTTTTTTTCAGATGTGAAGTGCTTCTAATGTCAGTAGCTCTCCGAGGATTAATTGCGCTCTCCACGAACGAAAATGCAAATGCCATAAAAATGGCGAACGATTTTTATTTATGAAAGGGGATTTTGATTATCTGAATTCCAATCGGAATAAAAAAATGTCTATTGATCCTGATTTTTCTTATTGGTTAATTTTACAAAACACTGTTGTTTAAAAGCTTTAAGGTAGTAGTATTAGAACAGAGGGAATTAAAATTGTGAATTACGAACTTTTTCCTACATTTGTGCATTATCAGGTTTAAAAGTATTCAAGATTTATAAATTGATCGTCGATCATAATAACATCCTAAGACAATGTCTATACAAAATAATAAAAACTCAACCAATCGGAGTTTGCAAATTTGAAATTTGCGCTAAAATTACCTCTTGAACAAATCATCAGACTTAAGTTCCTGAGACATTCTGATAATTTTATCATTTAATTAAACTAAATTTAAATTTAGTTTTTCGATTTGTCTTATTTTTTGAATTCGGAAAATGTCAATTTTTTGTTTCAGTTTATTTGTTTGTGTATTAGCCGAAAATTTGTATTCGAAATATAACTTAATTGTCAGTTCCCTGCTCCTGAACTCATCGCGCGTGTTTATTCTCGGTCTCTCCTTCCAGATGTGAAGTGCTTCTTGTCAGTAGCTTGACGATGGTGTTTGCTTGGTCTATAACCTCCAATGACATTCTTATAATTTTATCCTTTAATTAAACTTAATTTAAATAATTTTTCGATTTGTCACATTTTTAATTTTCGCAAAATGTCAGTTTTTTATTTCGAAATTTAATTGTTTGTGTATTAGCCAAAAATTCGTTCTCGGAACTATAATTTAGGGGTCAGTTCGCTGCTGCTGAACTCATCGCGCGTGTTTATTTTCGGTCTCTTTTCAGACGTGAAGTTCTTTTAATGTCAGTAGCTTTCCGAGGATGAATTGCGCTCTCCACGAACGAAAATGCAAATCCCATAAAAATGGCGAATGATTTTTATTTATGAAAGGGGATTTTGATTATCTGAATTCCAATCGGAATAAAAAAATGTCTATTGATCCTGATTTTTCTTAATGGTTAATTTTACAAAACAGTGTTGTTTCAAAGCTTTAAAGTAGTAGTATTAGAAAAGAGGGAATTAAAATTGTGAATTACGAACTTTTTCGCACATTTGTGCATTATCAGGTTTAAAAGTATTCAAATTTTATAAAATGATCGTCGATCATAATAACATCCTAAGACAATGTCTATACAAAATAATAAAAAGTCAACCAATCAGAATTTGCAAATTTGAAATTTGCGCTAAAATTACATCTTGAATAAATTGTCAGACTTAAGTTCCGGAGACATTCTGATAATTTTATCATTTAATTAAACTAAATTTAATTGTATTTTTTCGATTTCCCTCATTTTCTGTTTTCAGAAAATGTCAATTTTTTATTTAAGTTTATTTATTTGTGTATTAGCCGAAAATTTGTAATCGGAACTATAATTTAATGGTCAGTTTCCTGCTCCTGGACTCATCGCGCGTGTTTTTTCTCGGTCTCTCCTTCCAGATGTGAAGTGCTTCCAATATCAGTAGGTTGACGATGATTTTAGCTTGGTCTATAACCTCATATCCCACGCTCGTACCCTAAATTCCACACTGCCTTAAATGTTGTCCAATGGGTGAGTCCTCTTTTCGGTGTTCGTCAATTGTAGTAGTTAGATGTCGAACCGTTTGGCCAACAAAGCTGGAGTTACATCCACAACATGAAATCTTGTAAACCACTTTTCATTTTAGTTCACGCGAAAAAGAAGAGTTTAAGGATGGTAGGCAGGTTTTCAACTTTCTGGCGTTAAAAACGATTGGTGCCATGATTATATTCCGCACCTTACTTTCATTGCCTCGGTACTGCAACCATCATGGGTGGTGTGCCTGCATTAGCAATACTCCCTTGATGTAGGTCCTTACCAGGGCCCTTGTTGGCGTTTGCTTTGATGAGTCTGTCCAGGGTCCTTGAAACTTTTTTGCCAGTCCATGATTCTGGATATTGGTTGTCCACCCATTGTATTCTGTTTACCTCCATGGCATCATCGAACTTATTCCAAGTTGAAGTGCTTCTAAAAGTTCAATGAACTGCGCGTTCTTTTATGTTCCTCTCATAAATGAGTGGAGCGTAGCTCCTGAAATTGAGAATTGTCCCTGTATCAGTTGGTTTTTGATATAATCCACAGATGACGTTCTTACGTTTGTTCACGTTAACATTAATGTCAAAAAAGGCTAAGTTGCCCTTCTCGTTGGCGCTTTCTAAAGAAAACTATAGATTAGAACGTAATTGATTTGCCACGTTTAACATTTCTTCTGGATCTGCTTTCACAGTTCTCACGATATCATCTACATGTCTCAGAAAAAGTTTTATTTTCTCTGAGTGTTGTTTTTTTCTGTCAATTCACAGCATGTCGAGCAAAATCAAACAGTATTAGCTATATTTCTTATTCCATTTCTTGAAGCTTCATACATTTTTGATGGAACCAGTTAAGACAATTTTCACATTCAACACCTTTCTATCTATACGTAACTGTTTTCCTACATTCTGGACAGATGCCATACCATTTAGATCTCCAATTGGCCTGCAAGTTTTTTGGAATCTCTTTCCTCAATACAGGTTCGAACTCTTTCTTCCACAAATTTGCCAGTTTGTCTGCAAGAGAAGCTCCCATAGCCAAAACATCCTGCTGTGTATACCACATATCATTGCGCTTAAAGTGTAATTGACCTACAGCAAGGTTTAGCAATCTCTTCATAGTACTGCGTGGACTTTCGGGGGTTTCTCCTGCTCATCAAGTTTTTCTGAGTGCAATGTCGATCGTCTCTTTGAGTGGAAGATTAGTGTACAAACTTTTTACTTGTAAAGAAATTTTATTCTCATCAGAGTCTAATTCAACCTTCTCAATAATCTCTCGTGCCTTTTGCGTGTTAAAATAGACTCCAGAGCGATAGCTCTTGGGAGTTTTACCCCTTTGACAGTCAAATTAAGCTTTATCTGCGTAATCCGCGTATTTATAACCGTTTCTACATTTACAAAATTGTTACTTGGTACTTTTGTTGGCTTTGTGGTACATCGAACGTATGGCAGGTGCAAATTACACAATTGTAGAGTTGTATTGTTCGCCTGAAATTGTTTTCTGTTTTTTCTAGTCTGCTTTTTGAAATTTGCCCTTGAGTGATTCTCGAGTGATCCCGCAGCCTTCACATGTTATTAGATCTAGATAAACGTCGTATTGGGTTTCGAGTATGGCTTATAGTTTTATTAAGCCGTGAATTTCAATATACAGGTTGAGCAGGAGAAGTTTTAGATCCATCACTCATTCCGTATATTTTTTTAACCCAAAAATCCATTTCGTTGCTAGTGTTGGAACTCTTTCAAGTTCTATATTTGCTCTACTAGAGAGTCATCCTTATTTTTATGGGAACCAAGTCTCCTGTGTAGGCATTTAATTTGGTGGTAGTACTGCATTGCTTTGTGAGACTTGGTTTGATTTGAAATAAAGCGCCAATGGCTTTCGTTGCTCGACGCGTACTGTTTTCCTTCCACGGAAGCTACTGGGTACAATGAGTCTCAGGTCACGCTGAGAGTTAACTGAGCGAAGAGTTCTGTTCAAAAAAGTTGCTTTCAGATCATTTATGATGCTGATGAGAGTTTTTTTTATATTTGGTGGCATTTCGTTTGATTTTAACCTTTTTTTAACATGATTTAGTAAACGGGCTTTATAGTCATCAGAATAGCCAAATCTGTTTATGTTTCGAAGGGTTGCTGGGAGATTGTTGATAAACATTAGAAACAGCAGTGGTCCCAAGATTGATTCTTCTGGAACTCTACTGCTGATTTCTCTCAGGGTTGAGCTGCAGTCTTTAATCTTTACCTATGTCTTCCTACAAGGCAGGTACGATCGACAAGTTTTCCTCCGATGCCAATTGGTTTGATCGTGTTAAGCAGGATGTCTTGTTGATTGTTTAATTTTTATAGTTGGCAAATAAAAACCTGAACTGTTGCGGACCGTCGTTTACGAAATCCATGTTGACTTTCATGTAGTTCATATTTCACAATAAAACCTTGGTTTAGGCTTAAATGAAAGATTAGGATGGGTGATTTGCTCAAGGTTTTGTGACATGACTTATGAATGAGGTTTCCAATTTTGTCATGTCCCAATTTTGATCGATTGTGAATCTGTACTGAACATTTTGTTTAAGTTTGATTGCTAGTTTGCTTTGATTTGAGCCGAAGGCGCCGACGAAGTAGTTATTCAACAGTTCACATTTTACCGTTTCGTTGGTTTACTCGGTTTTTCCATTTTCTTCTGTAATGGGGTATTGTTAGTATTTTATATGGTCTTCAGATTTTTTTGGATTTTTCTAAAGGGTCGACATTCGAAGACTGTTTTTTTTGCAACTTCGGATAAGTGTTTTTCAGATGATTTTTTGATTATCTTTTCCTGCTTTTGGAGCTTTAGGAGAGTATTTCAAGATCTCCTTTGATCGTATTTCCGTTGCTTGAAGCTCTTTTTTTGTTGAGAAATTGTACTCAAAATCCAGAGTTGAAGGCTGGACCTATGTTTGGTTATTCCTGGTACAATTCTGTCAATCTCCCACAACCTATCGTTCCATTATTTGAGAATTTCGTTAACATTACAAAAGCAATAAGGGCTAATTTGTTTAGATTCTTTTGTGGCATTTAATCAAACCCGTTTAGCTCTTCTTAATGCATATCGATGGTTTGGTATTTTTGGTAAATTGGGGCTGTTGAAAACTGCAAATGTGGTAAAAGGCGGTTTGTGATCGGAATATTAACTTCAGTTTTTCCTGAGTTTTTTCATCGTTTTAATTTGATGTGTCACTGTGTCACAAAGTAATACACCTAGTTAAGTTGGAGCATTTTGGGAAATATTTAATTTCATCATTGTTTTTCGAGTAACTGGTCTTCAAAGAAATTGGGCGAATTAAGTGTTTGCCACCTGGTTTGTGCGAAATTTTTGTCTGCTGTGACTATTTGATCTCTTAACTCAGCTCGGCTGGCCGATTGAAGATTTGTAATCTGTCATCAAACTTTGCGTTTCATCAGTAATCCATTGGTCTGTATATAATCTTTTGAGACATCAAGTTTTTCTGATTTAGCTATTGACTTGACAGTTTATCTCATCTGCTAATGTCAAGGATACTTCTGGTGTTGAGTTTCAACAATTTTAAAGACTGTAGTCATTTACTGGTCGTTTCGCCTGCCTTAGTTTGATCAGTTTCGGTTTCTTTGAACGCATTTTTTTTTCCGAAAGTTACATTTTTTAAAAGTTACCCATGCACTTCTAGCATAAGATTTCTGGTTCTTGTCTTCTTATGCTTTTTTCTTTATCAAATTTCCCATCGTTTCTTCAGACAATTGTTTTCTTTTTTGGCTTCCTCTCGATAGTTCAGGGAAGTTCTTCAATTTTTGAGCCGGTTTGAGAATCAATATTTTGCTGATGCCATTTTCGGTGATGAACGAAAAATGTCGAGATCCTTGGTCGGGATTGAATTTCCCAATTCGAGTAACGTCAAAGTTTTTGTCAATTTTAAGGATGGCAAGAATTCAGTCGATTGTTTGCAGGTTTTTCTGCATTCGTTCTATATCGGTCTTTTCCTTGCTCTCGGGAACACGGCGTATGCGAATGCCGAGGTTTGCTTTTGGTACAGAGGTTGAGTTGACAAATCTTCCTTGTTTTACGTTTCCAAAGGCACCTCGAAAGTTGCTCGATTTTTGGTCAATGATTTGCTATGATTTTGAACTTGCGTGACGAGATTACTGGGGATGTTTCAGTTTTTTTTTGATTGGAGCCTTCATTTGTTCTTGTTAGTTTTTGAATTGTTCATCAAGCTTGTTACTTGATGCTGTTTAGCTTTGTCAGAGGCCTTGTTATTTTCGGGTTTGTTGTCATTGTAGATAGGGGGAAGTAATTTTCCAATTCGATGAACACTTTTTCATCGTTAGTAAATATATTGCTTTCTGGGAGATAACCAGACCTGTTTTTTTTGTTTTTCTTCAGTTTTTGTTTTCCTTCAGTTGTTTTATCTTCAGTTTTTGTTGCCATATGAAGCAGTTTTCTCGCATTTTGGATAATGTTAACTTTGCAAACTTCGAGTTTGTTCGACGAATTACTAGGATATACTCAAGACAACTATTAAATAGTAAAATGGAATAACAATAAATACTGATTGTGATGGCTGATAGAGCTAGTTTAAGACCTGGTTAACAAAGTCCAGTTCTTAAGCAGAGAGGATCAGAAAAGACCTGGACAACAAAGTCCAGATTTTAATAAGATAAAGTCCTGGACAATAAAGAGCAGTTCTTTATTTGTTTGTGCACAGTAGTATACTTTACCGTCACCTACTTATTGGGTTTCTTCTAGCCGTTGGTTTTTCGCTTCTCGTTGTTTCTCGCGTTGTTTTCGATGGATTGTTTTCGCGTTTTCAAAAGATAGCAAAAAGATTGCATCCGTTGCTTACGTTTAAGTCAAGCGAGCGAAGTTCGAAGAAGCCTATTTGTTTTAAGTTCGGATGAGTGTCGACGAGTGCCTGCTTCTGTTGCTTTTTGCGAATAGTTTTTGAACTACTGAAATTGTTAGCTTTTGCATGTCAGTAACGATGTATTCCACACCCGTGCGTTAACAGTAAACAACGCCAAATATTTGTGGAACGGCTCGAAATTCGTCAAGCAGTTGAAATGGTGTTAATAGAATGCGTGAATCCGTTGAATGTTCATTTATGGTGTGATTGAGTACATCGTGCCAGATGATGACAGTGTCCTTTTGTCTAGCAGAAGTCGTTGTACGCGTTTGTTTCTCTCTTGCGGCCATAGGCTAACACAGAGCCGATAACGTGTTTTCGTAATCGATCTGCTAATTTGAACAGGTCTTAGTCGGTATTGTTCTGTGGATGGAGACCGTGATGTAGCGCTCTCCATTCACGGCTACCTCGAAAATCTTTTTACTCTGAAACTATTCTGTAATTCATGAATTCATGATAGCTGTCTTCTTCCACATAAAGGCGAGGCTGAAAAGTGCATAAAAAGAACAGGCTGAATTGAATAAGAAAGAGTGACAAGCTGTTGCTATATTGCATAAGTTTTGGCTTGCTGGACTGGTAATCGTTATTTCGGCTTTTGGCCCTTCGACTTGACCTACATTCGAGTTTATGCAACAGTTGCGAGCTGAATTAATTTTGCCAAGTTAGGTTCCGTGATTTCCACTATGTAAAACTTTTTGTTATGAATGCGACAACGCAGGTGTTTAGCGCAAATTTGAGCAGGAATAATTGGACTTGCAAACCGGGCTTAAAAAATAATATTAAAAAAACATTTATTGTCGATATCTGTTTGCTTCAGAATTCTGGTAATCGAGAGTCGGAATCTCAGTTTTCAGCCAACAGACTGCTTTCTATCAACACAGTCGGAGCCCATGCTAACACATACTCTGGAAATTTCAGTCAACATGCGCCCTTGGAACAAATGATGAATCCATCCGCCCAATCGCCATCTTTATGCAATTCTCCCCAACTTACTCCTCAGAATTCAGGGAATTTTTCACAATTCAGTTCGCCATCACTTGTAGGAGATATTCCTACCCCGAATTCACAATACCAAGGGCAGATGAATGATCCTCAGGTGACGAATAGAAAGTGTGAAGTGTGCAAGGAGCACGCAAGTGGGAATCATTACGGTTGTTGGACGTGTGAGGGATGCAAGGCCTTCTTCAAACGTAGTGTGCAAGGTTGATCTTTTTGGTTTACATCTGCAGACTTTCATACGAAATTTAGAGAATTAGCATTACCACAAACTTTTTTCACGAATCAAGTTATCTTAATTTTTGAATAGAAAAGGTATTTTGTTTAATATGAATAAATTTGTTGTGTATTTTTAGGGTTGGCCAAATCGAATTTGCAAGCTCACATTTTTTTGCTTTAATTGCCTGCGCCGCTGGCTAAAATTTGATAATATGTAGCTTAACGCCATTTGTGGTGCTGTTTGAATGGTTGTAGTATCTACTGAACAATCTCCCCTCTATGCAAGGGCGGATTTAAAGGGGGGGGGGGGGGGTGGCCGACCGACCTTAGAATTTTTCTAAAGGCGCCTTCGGCGCTAATATATACTAACTTTGAGGGGGAGCGCGCGCTAAAAAAAAACGCGATTTTTTTGTCAAAATTTTTCAAAAAGTGCCCAAAAACGGCTTTTTTGACTTTTTTCAAAAATTTGCCTGCGGCGCAGAAAATTTAGCCAAAACAGGGACAAAACAGTGCTTTGGGAGAGCTCGAAAAATCAATTTGGTCGACCTAAAAAAAAGGTCGTCAAAATTTTCAATTTTTTTGAAAATCCGCCCCCCCCCCTCGAGAAAATCCTAGATCTGCCCCTGCCTCTATGTGATCTAGTTAAGAATATCCACCCCTACAAAGAAATAAGGTAAATTAGCACCAGAGAATTATTATTTTGCTGCATTCTGATTGGTCGAAAATTCGCCTAACTGAATCTACGTATTAATAGCCCATTCTTGAATGGGGGGGATATTGTTAAGTAGATCCTGTTTGTATAATCTTAAACTCCTAAGGTTTATTAGGAGAGGCCCCAAAAATTTGTGTATATATCCACCGAGTAAATGGTACGAAGTAGGTGGATGTTTATATTGGTATGGTATGTTTAGCTAACTCGCAGTACACGTGTGTGTCTGGCAACGACTGTGACGTGGACGGGGTGGGAAGGAAGAACTGTCCGGCCTGTCGACTCAGAAAATGCTTCCAAGTCGGAATGACTTCCGAGAGTATGTCAAGAACAGAGTTTGCTGTGATAAACCTTTCTAATGAGATTTTCCTTTTTTGAGTGTTTTTTGAACAGGGTATAGGATCATGATTTTTTTCGGGGGCAGAGTTTCAAAAAAAAGTTTCGAGAAATATATGCGCCGCTGGCAAGGTTTTGATGAAAAAAAACATGCCAAAGTTTTTCGGATTTTTTAGGACTTTTTTCCACCCCCCCCCCCCCCCCCCCTCAAAATTGCTATTTGTTGGCGCCTTTAGAAAAATGTGAAGGTTGGTCAGCATAAAGTGGATGTCACAAAACAGTGCCAAAAAGGAGACTCTTTGGTCGATAAGGGGCATCCGATCCCTCCCCTTAATCAGCCCCGCTTGAAATCTTTTGGCTGTTTGTTTTATTGTTAAATATTGATCGAGTGTTGATGAACTACGTGATTTTCGAGCAATTTAGGTCGTCAGTTATAAAAAATTGATTTCAGGCATCAAAAGAGACAGACGTCTGGCTGCGACTTCATCTCAAGATGCAGCCTCCATGTTCCGACAGGAGAATCCTCTAGCTGCCTCTCTCTTACACAGACTGATTGAGATCGAAATCGAGCCAATCAGCGCCGACTTCTCTCTCCCAGAAGCAGGCGATGAGTCACTGTCGCCCAATGCATATCTGATCAAACTGTTTGCAAGATTAGCAGATAGGCTGTTGTCGTTTTACGTTGAGTGGGCCAAGTCAATACCAGGTTAATTTCTTGTACTTTAGCTATAAATTATCAAAAATGTTTGCATTCGCGAGTTTGCAGTACTTTATTTGACCCTTGCAGTATCTGCCTTCATTCTCGAATCATGACAAGATTCACCAGCGGATTTAGGGGTGGGGAAGATGCCCCCCTCAGGGATTCGACCCCCTGCCGACCCAAAGGGCCCACTTTTGTACTATTTTGAGATATCCATTTTTGGGAGACGGACCCTAAATTTTTTCTTAAGGCTTCTTTGACGCCAATGTATACTAAATTTGATAGGAAAGCGCGTGCCGAAAAGACGAAATTTTTTGGTCAAAAATTTCATAATTTCGTTAAAATAGGGTCTTTGTATTGATATGTGAAAGCTCGAAAATCAATTTGGTCGGAAAAAAGGACGATTAAATTTCGATTTTTTTTTTTGAAAATCTGCCTCCCCCATCCTCGAAAATCCTAGATCCGCCCCTGATAAGATTTCGTTATTCTTCAATTTAAGCCATAATAGTTTATCTTCAGTTCAATCGCCTTCTCCACCTCGTATGGGGTATTGGCGTCATCCATTTAGAACCGCCCGCCATTGGTTTCGATCGCTGGCAATGGTTTTCAGGTAATCTTTCCAGATCGCGTCAAAGACGCCACGGGAGACGTTGAGCGGTTTCATTAGTTTTTCTGCTTTTTTCTTCATGCTCCTCTCGTACGAAAGTTTTACACGACCCGGCGGTCTCTTCCATGGCTCTGGTTTGACCATGAATAGGATCTTGCGGTATCGAAAGGAATCCATGCGCAGAACATGCCCGAGGTATGTCCACTGTCTGCGCCAGATGGTCTGCGAGAACATCTCTACTTGATCGCTCCTTCGCAGGAACTCGGTGTTGGATACCCGGTGTTGCCACCTCGTTTTGGTGACTATACGAAGGCATTTTATATAGAATACGTCGACTCTATGAATATCGGTTTAGAGTACGTTCCAGTTTTCACAAGCGTAAGAAGCAAATGTGAAGACATTGGCCTTCAGAATACGGATCTTGATCTTTGTATTGATATTTGATTTCCACAACTTGGTTAACTGGCTGAAAGCGGCCCAGGCGAGATTTATGCTTCTAATTACGTCAGCCGGCAGAACCGTCTGAGGTAATCTGACTACCAAGGTAGCAGAAACCGTTCAAGGTCTCAATTCCTATCCTATTTATGTCGATTGTACCGGATATATCAGCGGTTTTCATGAGCTTTGTTTTCTCGCAGTTTATATGTAGCCCGAGTTTTGCTGCCTCGTCTGACAGGAGAGAGGTCATCTGACTGAGGCACTACGGAGTCTGCATAGTTTATCTTGCCATTATAAAACTAAAATTTCATCGAAATATCTTTCAGATTTTTCGTTTAGGCTTTTCAGGTAGGGCTTCTCTTATATCCACTCAATTTTTAAAATGTTTTTTTTTGTTGCTTAGGATACTCGAACTTGACCTTGGCGACGCAGCGCAGTCTGCTGTCGAGGTGTTTCTTCGTGGAGGCCCTTCTGGACATGATGTTCCGATCGATCGAGTTGCAGCCGGGACAAATTCGCATATCGGCCGACATAGCCATGACACAGTTAGTGTTGGGACAGTTTTTTTAGGGAAACATTTTATGGGAAAAAAACATCAAACAAAAAGCTAGGTGGAACCAAATCATTTCTGAAATGAAACTTTGCTGAAAGTTGCTGTTGTTAGTTTGATTTTAAATTGCGTAACTAGAAAGTGTTATAGGAACTGTTGAAATTACTATCAGCCGCTGCTTGTCAAAGAACAAGCGAGAACAGATGACAGTTTGACATGAACCACCGACATCTTGATTAAGAGACTAGTTACTACAACTTAGCATGTGAAATTTAAAATTTAAATGGTCCTTTGCGTTCTAGGAATGCTCTCATGGCTCTAACCAATGGCTCACGATATGAAGTTCATGACGAAATAGAGGAAGCTTCGAAACTATTCCGCAATTTACGAGTATCATATGAAGAATATCTAGCTCTAAAATGCGTAGTCTTAATGTCAAGCGAAGATTTAATCGACGTTGCGAGTGATTTAACATACGTGAAAACATTACAAGATAGAGCTATTGACTGTTTGGTGTACGCTGTTCACGAGAATTTGTATAGAATCGACATGAACACGTCTGAAGAGGTAATGCAAAGACGAACCTCGAAATTGTTGATATTGATTAGTCGTTTGAACAGGTTATCTTTTCAGATTCTGACTCATATTACAAGAGTGAAAGACAGTATTCCCATGTTTGAATTAGTAGGTAGCTTATTAAGTCAAAATTTATCCAATTAGTTTTATTTTTTTAGCTGATCTATGTTATTCTATAGTTTTTGATATTCTATAAATTAAATCAATTGATATAAATTGTTGTAGTGTAAATAGTTGAATATTGATCAATGAACTGCCTGTTTCAATTCACTTTGCTTGAAGATTTTTATTCTGCGTGAAAAACTCTCAAAAGCAGTCACTATTACGGAGAACTTCTTTCTAAAAAGGGAGTATGGTAAAAAATGAAAACCTTTTTTAGGTTAAAAGGGGGGAAAATGTCTGCAAAATGGATTTTTCGCGGTTTGACTTTTGATTTAGAATTTCAGTTAATTATTTTGTTAAAACGAAGACAAACTCCACAATCAAACAGCAAGGGTGCGAAGGTCTTTAAAAACGGGATTAATTTCTAGTGCGAATGTGCATTTTGTGCGGAATGAAAAAATTACATATTGATCCAGTTTTCCTAAATTGGGTTGATTTTATCCAAAAAGTTTCAGCGTAAGTTGTTCGTGAAATTCAAGAGCTTTAAGACTCCCGGTTATAGCGTCATTACACAAGCTTGGCTTGTGTTATAGTATGAACTCCCTTTTTTCCCAACATAAGTCGCAAATATTGGTGCGATGCAATTGTTGCGACAAAGTGTGTTTATTTTGAAAGTGGTTTTGATCCAGCTATTAAGTACAGCCAATGCTAAGGATATTAACACAGACCATTATATTAGAAATAGCACTTTAGCTTCAAGTATCTTGGATCTGTTGCGTACAGGTAGGGAAGGAGACCAGCAACAAAATGCGGCATAATTGGCGTGCGTCTATTAAGAAATTTTGTAGGCTCGAATATTTACTCATTCAGTTTTTTCCAGTAGCGTTATCGGTCATATTTTTGCTTGTGTATGCGAATTGCAACTTCGCCTCTGTGTACATTTTTATAACTTGAATGAATATTTCCGATCGAAAATTAATTTTTATGCCAGTTTTTAATTTACAAATCCAATTTAGTATGATTTCCGTGTTTTTATCAGTCTAAAAGGTTTCAGTTAAGGTTAATGGGTTTAGTGGCTTCATATGGCGTCGTTTCGTGAAGAGAAAACGTTTTTTTTGTGTGTTTTGAAGTGCGGGCTTAAAAACGTTTGGAGTTTTTATTTTTGAATGAAAACTACGTTTTTCGGCTCAAGTATTGTCGGCTTTGTTATCGCTCGTAAGTTTTGTTCCGTTGATAATTCAATATCAGAAAAAGTCAACAACTTAAGTTTTCATACTTAAGGCTCGAATTTTTACTCATTCAGTTTTTTCCAGTAGCGTTATCGGTCATATTTTTGCTTGTGTATGCGAATTGCAACTTCGCCTCTGTGTACATTTTTATAACTTGAATGAATATTTCAGATAGAAAATTAATTTTTATGCCAGTTTTTAATTTACAAATCCAATTTAGTATGATTTCCGTGTTTTTATCAGTCTAAAAGGTTTCAGTTAAGGTTAATGGGTTTAGTGGCTTCATATAGCGTCGTTTCGTGAAGAGAAAACGTTTTTTTTGTGTTTTTTGAAGTGCGGGCTTCAAAACGTTTGGAGTTTTAATTTTTGAATGAAAACTACGTTTTTCGGCTCAAGTATTGTCGGCTTTGTTATCGCTCGTAAGTTTTGTTCCGTTGATAATTTAATATCAGAAAAAGTCAACAACTTAAGTTTTCATACTTTTGTCCCGAAAGAAGTTCATATCGGGGCAAGCATTTTAAGAACAACCGGAAGTTTTCGCTCTTGAAACCACGCAAAAAAACGTCCTAGTTGAATACTTGTTTGTGTTTGATCAAGGCTTTTTCATGGAGGCTATCCAGTTCTTTCGATTTTAGTATATGGACTCCTGCTAGTGAAGCGCGAAAAGCACCCAGAATTTGCAACAGCTTAGTTTTCTTCAAGAATTGCATCAGCTGACCATTATTATGTTGCGAAATGATCCTTTTAGATTATTGTATATTTGAAGCAGCCGAAAGTTAAACGAACCGAAAACGCTCAGAGTAAATGAACCAGCCAAAAATTTACGTCACATAAATGAAGTTTGCATCACTTTCGTAACTTACATAATTGTTACATAGCTTTTATATAACAGTTTCGCAACCATTATTATGTTGCGAAATGATCCTTTTAGATTATTGTATATTTGAAGCAGCCGAAAGTTAAACGAACCGAAAACGCTCAGAGTAAATGAACCAGCCAAAAATTTACGTCACATAAATGAAGTTTGCATCACTTTCGTAACTTACATAATTGTTGCATAGCTTTTATATAACAGTTACGTATTTCCCGCTGGTTTGTATCCCAACTTTTTTCCTCTAGTTTTTACTATCTTACTGCTGCAGCGCTTCGATCAAAGTTCATAGAGGAGGAGGAGGGCGTGGATACCGGCTTCCTCATTAATTTAATTTGACCCCCTGGCCACAAATGGTTCCTCTTTGGTATTTGAAGACACCCATGTTTGGCTGAGAGACTTGCTCACGCTTTAAATATTTTCGAAAGGCGCACTTGATGCCAAAATGAATCATTTTGAGGGGGAGGGCGCGCTAAATAAATGCATTTTTTTTTTCGTGAAAATTCCACTGAAACTGCCTGGCAGCGTCTTTTCAAAAATTTGCCTGGCTTCGACCTTAAAAGACGTCGACTAGCTTTTTGAAAATACGCCTGCCCTCGAGAAAATCCTAGATCCTCCCCTGGATTTGGTACTTGTTCTTAAAAAGGTGCATAAACAAAACTGTTAAATTCGAAAAAGCTGGGTATAATACAGCCCAGTCTGTAAATAAAATTTCTAAAAACGTCATATAGAAAGGGTTGGTTGGGTTATTGGTTTTGATCTCTTGACGCCGCGAAAAGTCTTCGCTCTTAGGTGAACATAAATAACGAGCAAACAACCAAAGTTTGATAATTTAATCACAACAATATGAAATTCGCAAGCATCGTTTAGTGGTTAAATCTTTGGATTTTCCAAGGTTGAGTGATAAGTACTTAAAGCAAATCGGATCAAAACAAACGACAGTTTGTTATTTGATCATTATGTGGCGAGGGATTTAAGGAGCTTATCCTAAATACCGGAATCTGAAGACACTTGGCCTGAATTGTTCGAAGTAGCTCACTAGGCGGATAAGAGGAATAAAACCAGTAATCGAATTTATATTTAGATGGGATCACTTGAATAATAGGACTCAATCATAGCATTGGGCTAATGAGAAAAGAACACGATCGGAGACATCGCATCGAGCGTAGCCTGTCAGTTTGGCCTTGACCTTTTAATCGAATTTTTTAAATCTGATTACTGCTATAGATGGATTTGTCATGGCCATCCAGATAGTATGACTAATTATTATACCGAATGTGTTCAGTTGCCTCATTTCTCCGCTTTGTAAAAAGAAATTAAGTGTTGAGTTTTAAAGTTTTTACTGCAGGTTAAATTTTTTCACTTTCTCCTTAAAACTTTTCTAATTTATCTGCTTTATGCCCAGCTGCTTCGGCATGTTCTAGTCAATCGTCCCCCTTCGCGTAGTCATTTATGATCTCCTCTAGAGTTACTGAGCCGTATCATAGTTGGACACTGATTTACTTTCTGTGATCCGCTCGTCTTCTTGGCTTTTTTTTGTGCCTGGTCTTGGTCCCTCAATAGCTGTTATTCATTTTCGGTTGTCGAAGTTGCAGGTGTCTCATCCTGGAAATGTAATCTCGCCATGTCAATAAGATTGATAGTGTCTTCCCGTTCGAAATAGCCCGCAATAAATCTCTGTGATTTTCGTCGTCCGACCTGACCATAATGTGGTTTATGCTGGTTGTTCCTGTTTCTTTTTGAGGTCCTTATTTACTGGTCCTGGGCCGTGTTCGATCCGCTAGATCTTCATCGCTACCTGCATCGAATGAGTCATCACTCATTTTAGCGAAGCTAGAGTCCACTTGTATCGCCGGTGGTGAGCTCGATGTTTGCACAATAGAAAATCTTCTTGAGACTCCTGGTTCCACTTCGATCGCTAATAGTTTCAGCTTGTTACTCTGTTGATCGCCTTCGCGGATTTGCTGGTTGCGCCGTTTTTGTTCAAGCCCTTATTTGCTATGGTGATTTTTTGTTGATCCCGTGATTTTCCCTAAAATTGTTTTGATGTTTTTTCATAATTGTTCGAGCTTCGTTGCGTGTCGTCGGGCTTGCCCGAATCAGCGGTTGAGATTGATGTTTGGAGGCTGAAATTCATTCCCCCTCTAGAACTTTTTTCTTCCATCCCCTAACCGTTTTGCGAGCAAGGCTCAGCTGTGAGGCTCGTATCCTACATATGGGAGTATCCGTTAGTTCATCTGTCTCGAGTAAAGACCACGAATGGTAGTTTATATTCTTTTCCTTGTTTTTGCGATCCACCACTTCTGCTCCTCTTTGATCCCATTGTAGCTTCGGGTACTTGCGACCTCCGACGTTAGTGGCTTGCCCAATGTTTGTCTAAGCACGTTTTGGTAACTTTATCGCAACTTAAATTTAACCAGCTCTGTTCTGTGCTAATAATTGAGAGCGTTTTTTAGATTTTCGACCAAAATGGGATATAATGAGTGGCCTAGTTTGAAGAATTCTTGCCTTTGTTTCTTCATACACCCCAGTTGGCTTTTAGTGTTTCAATCCTGTTTATCGATGGTCGTTTGCCGTCGAAACTAATCGTTCGATGTTATTGTTATTGCAATGTTCCATAATGGCCTTTACCGATAAATAAGGTGCTTGATCTACCCGAATAGACTTCGGTGTTCCATGTAATTTTTGATAGTCTTCAAAAACTTTGCTGCGTTTAAAGCAGTTGCAAGTTCAAAAAATTTCATCGAAGGAAATTTGAAAAAACCGGTGTATAGCTAGCAGGATTTAGACCTCTTTTCCATTTTCTTCATTGATGGGCCCCCCATGGTCCAGCTGTGTTTCTTCGTTTGTTTCACTTTAGTTTTTGATTGCTTTCTATTCCGAGCCAGAGGTTAAGGTTTATTATTACCGGTTTTGGAGCAGTTTTTGCATTTTTCAGCCTTATTGATGAAGCTTCGATGTTTGTGATGCGACCATGTTCTCTGAAGCTCTGAGTCATTCCCAACTGGCCTGAATGAGTAGCATGGAAGACGTCAATGCATCCGTCTCTGAG